TTATTTTATCTTCATCTATATTAATAATTTTATTTTCTCTTGTGACTCCACAACTTTGTAATCATCCTAGTTTGGCTTGCATAGTTTCCTTCAATTTTTCTACTTCTTCACCGGTTTCACAATTAATCATTGTTCCTTTGCTTCCTTTTTTTAATTTCGTTATTCCCATTGCCTCTTAATATCCACCTTATCTTTTATCGATTTTTTAGTAGCTTCACTATCTTGTTGCATCTTCGGCTTAACAATTATAAATTTCTTCTTCTTCTTCTCTTTAATCGCTTCGTTTTCTTTCTTCTTCTCTTTAATCGCTTCTTTGCATTCCACCCGTTGATCCTACCTGCTACTCTCTGAATCATTCTCCTCAAGTCTTCCAGCTCTTGTTAACACTTTCCAATTCTTCTCGAATCTACTTTTTTTGATTATCGTTTTAATTTCTCTCTACAGGCTGTTTCATCTTTAATTTCTTTCACAGTTTTTATGAACCAATCTATTTTTATCTAAGTACTAAATAATCCACTCGTACCTGATATTTTATTTCCACTGCCCATTGTCATGAGCAATCCTGTAGATCCTGTAGATCCTGTGAAATCTGCCCTATCTCTTGCCCGCCACTTTCTTCATATTCGTTTCTTGATTCCTTTCAATCAAAAACTCTTCAAATGGGCCAGCACGCGGCACATATTCTCGGTTTCTGTCATAAATTTCATGCTTACATACACATCTTGGATGGTAAAAAAGTTTGACACAAGACTTGCATTTAACAAGTTTGCTCTTTATTGCTTTCTTACATGTCGAGCATCGGTATTCTGCATATTCATCGTTCATATCGCTAATTACTTGACACGTTTATATCAGCATCATCTGTGATTCACTTTCACATGTCAGTACTCTTGTGTCCACGTTTAATGTCTACCTACCTTACCAGACTTTGATGCTTCAAACAAGAAATGCACTTTTCGCATTCACAAATCGATACATCTTGGCTAAATAACATTCATAGTTACTCTCGGTCTATGGTGTTATAACTTAAATAACTTTTTATTGCTCTCTCTCTCTCTCACTAATTAACCACTAAAAAATTATCACTTTTACGAAACGATGTTTCACAAGAGAGAGAGAGAGAGAGAGAGAGAGAGAGAGAGAGAGAGAGAGAGAGAGAGAGAGAGAGAGAGAGAAGGGGGGGGAATGATGGAGTGAAAGAGTGAAAGAGAACGAAAGAGAAGTGAAAAGTGCAAAAGAGAATGGTAGAGAACAATGAAGGGCCAAAAGAGAGCGAGCGAGAACAAGGAAGAATGAAAGAGAGCGAATGAGCACGGAGATGAGGGAGACGTTTCTCCCTCATCTCCCAAGATAAAATTTTCACATTTCAACTTTGCACGTTAATATCTCCGTCTATGAAGCACATAGGAAAAAGTACAAAGACTTTTTATATATAATTCTTATCCAAGTTATCAATTGGATGAGTAATTTACGAGTAATTTAATCGATTCAGCCGTTTCTGCGATCTGATAATCTCAGGTAATCGCAACTGAATCGCTCACGTAAAGATACACGGTTCTTCCTCTCGTTTCGCGTTACGCGATCAGTTTTGATTTATAAGTTACAAATAAAGTAAAATTTTTATATTGTTAAAAAAGTCTTTATTCTTTCTTATCTGTCTTCATTTCTTCTTATAAAGATACAATATTCTTTTCTACATATTTTCTAAAGCTTTTATAAGCTGTGTTATTTGTCTTTAATATTTCATTACATATGAAATTTAGTAGCGCCAAGACTTTTAATATTTTTCCGATCACTTCGCCGCTATATGTAAAATGACGCAATTATTTTTATTTCATTATTTTTTTGTAGAAAATTAAACCATTTACATTAAATAAGCATTTTTAACTTGTATATGATAAACCACACTTAAAATATAAATATTACAATCTTTCATAACATAATAATAAAATATTTATAATATTTCCTTTTCACAATTATGGTAATATTTTGATAGTACATTATGATAGTATTTTTATAATAAATAACACATTTTATAATAAATAACACAACAAATAATCACATACACTCAGATTATATGATGTACTCACAAACTACGCATACATGTTCACTAGAGAATATAGCCAATGAAAACTCGACATTACTTTTGTCTCTTTCTAGATTTATATATTAGATATTTCTATAATAGATCTGTTTTAATATTATTGGACAATTATTCGAATTTTATATATATATATACAGGGATCAGCAAAAAAGTAATAATAAATTAATATTACTTGATTTATGAATTAATTACGTAATCAAAAGAGAATATTTTCCGATTACTTGATTAATCAGTAATCACATTGAAAAAATTTTTGATTACTCGATTAATCAGTAATTAAAATGAAAAATTTTTAATTATTTTATTAATCAGTAATCAGAGTACAAAACTTTTTTGTTACTTAATTAACCAGCAACTACAGCAAATTGTTTTAGATTTTTTGATTAGTAAGTAATCGTAGTGGGAAATTTTTTATTTAAATATATAATAATTTTATTTAAATATATAAATAATTTTACTTAAATAATTAATAATTATACTAAAAAATTTTCGATTATGTAATTAAAAGGAATCAGATTATTCTTCTGAATTATCCAATTAATCAGTGCTTAAAAGTGGTTTACATACACACACACACACACACACACACACACACACACACACACACACACACACGCACCACACACACACACACACACACA